TGCAAAACATACACAGCACTTATCCCAAATCCAGACCCACAAACATTAATCCCTTGGCCACAGAAAAATTGCCCACTCCTACTTTAAACATAGACAAGATTTAAGGTGGAAGCCTATTCCTTTCTGTTAGATCATTACAGCTATTTGTTCAAAGAGCTAATTCATTTTCCTTGACTGCTATGCACATGTGATTCTTTGTTGTGGTTAAGGTCATATTACATTTATATAAATAGTAGTCATGTACTGATATCAGACTACATGTTACTATAACAACCTTAACAGGCATAGTAGGTCATTTAAGGCTTGTGTTTGCTAAATGAAAGAGAAACACCAACTGAATATGCTTACTGAATGAATTGCAAAGATGGATCCAAATCTTTTTAATAGTTTGCTAAATTGTCAGAGTTGGCATTAATTTCATATCTGTAAAAAGTCAAGTAAAACATTCTACAAATCTAGGAGTTAATGACCCCTCAGATATAAATAAAATATACTAGAAGCATCTATACACAGTGAGATCTCCATAAGGAATTATGTTGCATCAAAATTAATGTTGATAAGTTGTGTATGAGCAATGGATTTTTTAAACTTGCTGGGGTGTGAAAAGTACTTACAGGTTTCTGGCTTCTTTTAAGAGATTAATTGCAGCAATTATCTTCAGCCTTTCTCTACCATCAAAGTTTTCATGGTAAAATTACTCCCAAGTAACTGGTCTCTTCAGATATAGATATAATGCTATGTTGGGCATAATTTGAAATGGAGAAAGGTACAAGGCCTCACAACATATTTCCAAAAGCAACAGGATAGATTTTTTCCCCCTTCACTATTCTGCATCAAATCTGTTACGAGAATTTGCAGTAGAAATCCTGAAAACTTTGCTCCAAACTCTGACTAAATAGATAAGAAGATACATTCTAATATAAAACAGCTGTTGTGCTTTTCTGGAATCTTGCTGGTACATTTTCCACTCAGGAAATTAGATTTTTATCCTGCCTTTTCTATATATAACTCAAGGCAGTGAACATACCTAATAGCTCTGCCTTCTGTTATCCCCACAACAGCTCTGTGAGGTGGGTTGGGCTGAAAGTGATTGGCCAAGCATTCATACCTAAGGGAGACCTAGGATTTACAGTCTCTTGGCTTCACATCAGCACCTTAACTTCTGGACCAGACTGCCTCAACTGAGAATGAGAATGCAGTCTCACTGATAATATGAGATGTATATGCAATGTACAGTATAATTAGCTATTCCTAAATGTAAGATGTTGAGAACTATAGGCCTCTAATGATAGCAGGCCCAATACAGCCATACTACATTTTCAGAAAAAGGTTTTGTCTGTCCCATCCTTTCTAAATATACAACATGTAGTGGATTGCATAGATTGCAGTTGTGCACCAATACCACTTCTAGTGATGCCAATAAGCTGCCATCACTATTTATCTTCAATAGAAGCAGTGGCTACCCAAACCACTTCAGGTCAGGTTCATCAAACATACTGGCAGTACTTTCAACCCAGAAAAAAAGGGCATTCATTTCAAAGGCCTTGAGCTTAGATGGCTAGATAAGGAGAACAAGTACATTCATGAAATATCTATCAACTGTCAGCTGTCATGGTTAAGGAAAATGCCCCTTGCTAGCAGCCAACAAGGGGAGGGGAGCATATGCCTGCTTGTAGGCTTCCCAGAAGTATCTGGCTGACCTACTGAAAACAAATTTCGGGACTAATCGACCTTGGGTCTAATCCAACAAAGCTTTTATGTTCCTATGAAATCATATTCAATTCACTCCATCTCCCAACTCCAGCTAAATGTTGATTAATAAGCAGAGCGGTCCTACCATATGAACAATTTTGTGGTTGGAATCTCTAAGGAGTCCAGAGGGCTACACCAAAGGAGAGAAACTTATTTCCCTTTCCTAGGCCTTTTTAAACAAATGTTTAGCTGTTTTCCTCACAATAGTTGCAATAGAAAGACTGGGATGGGTAACTTTTGGGGGAGCTTCATGAATCCTAATCCTAATTCTCCCTTTTTTCAACCCTTCAAACTTAAGCCAAGTCTTAAGCCAGTAGTTGCTATAACTTTTGCATACTTCCCAGCCGTTTTGTAGTAGAAGGCTTACTATTAAGTGTAAAGTAGATTTTAAAAAGAAAATCCTCAATCTTTTTCCAAAGGCTAAGAGAAAAATCTTGGTCATTTTTGCATCAACATTCCAACTGCAGCTTTCACACACTAAAAGCATGTGGTGTTCAATTCCCAGGTGTCAAAACGTTGCCTATTCCTGAACTGTGTGAACAGCAGGTATAGAGTAACCCCACACATAAATAATTTTGATGTATAGTAGAGATATGCCAGAGCTCCAAAATCATGATAAATGCTGGAGAAGATGCATCCAAAACTGAATTTCTCCCACCCCACAATGGTAGAGCTGCTTAAGTGGAAAACTTTCTATGATATCTTAGTTTTAGTTATCCTAAATAATTACTATATATCCAGAAAGCAGGGGGGGCGGGGGGTGGGAGAAAGCTGAACATTAGTTTGGGAACCTATCTTAAAATTGCAACATCAGACTCCTTTTGCCTTATATCCAGTATTTTTCTTAAAATTCAGATTAGGGCAATACTTTATATTCATTGAATCAATTTAAAGTCAAAGCATACTGCTCTTTTACAAAATCAAGTCAGCTTAATACTACTACTATTTTTTGGAATGTTCTAATGGTCAACAAGAGATATCTTTGAAGTCCAAGAGTTCAGAGTAGAGTTATATATAATTAAAACTTCATGGAGAAGTCAAGAAACTTTCATATGGATGGTTAAAGATGTAACACCCTTAATTTTGAAATAGGTCATATAAGAGGTACAATCTTTAAATATAGCTGAACTCTATTAACACGCTGAAAAGACCATATCATTTTTCTGTTAGCAACCATTTATTTAGTTCATTTAGGTTTTGTAACCTACTTCAATCCACAGATTTGGGGCAGTACATAACATAGTAAACTATAGAAGAAACAACCAAAAGACAGAAATACAATTACAATTTTAATTACAATTACAAAAAAGCCACCAGAAATATTCAATCCTTATTAAACACATGGTTGAATAATATTTAATGGTTTAAGAAATATGAAAAAGGATGGGAACACTAAAAATTCTTTAGGCAAGGACTTTCAAAGTACAGAAGCCACAACCAAAAGGCCTACCATCCAGTTGAGGTAACTTTTTGCAAATGATGCCAATATGAAAATGTTTTACCATTTCCTTCTTTCAGTTTTGTTTTTCAGCCTATAGAACTGAAATATTTCAATGTGTCATCTAAGAACCAAGTCCAATCCTACTTAACTTTCAAGCTGAAACAAGATCAGTGAGACACTGTCAGATACAAGGCATATATACACTGCTCAAAAAAATAAAGGGAACACAAAAATAAGACATCCTAGATCTGAATGATTGAAATATTCTTATTAAATACTTTGTTCATTACATAGTTGAATGTGCTGACAACAAAATCAACAAAATTTATCAATGGAAATCAAATTTAGCAACCCATGGAGGTATGGATTTGGAGTTACACTCAAAGTTAAAGTGGAAAAACACACTACAGGCTGATCCAACTTTGATGTAATGTCCTTAAAACAAGTCAGAATGAGGCTCAGTAGTGTATGTGGCCTCCACATGCCTCTATGACCACCCTACAACGTCTGGGCATGCTCCTGATGAGGTGGCAGATGGTCTCCTGAGGGATCTCCTCCCACACCTGGACTAAAGCATCCCCCAACTCCTGGACAGTCTGTGGTGCAACGTGGATGGAACGAGACATGATGTCCCAGATGTGCTCAATTGGATTCAGGTCTGAGGAACAGGCGGGCCAGTCCATAGCATCAATGCCTTTGTCTTGCAGGAACTGCTGACACACTCCAGCCATATGAGGTCTTGCATTGTCATGCATTAGGAGGAACCCAGGGCCAACCGCACCAGCATATGGTCTCACAAGGGTTCTGAGGATCTCATCTCGATACCTAATGGCAGTCAGGCTACCTCTGGCAAGCACACGGAGGGCTGTGCGGCCCCCTAAAGAAATGCCACCCCACATCATTACTGACCCACTGCCAAAATGGTCATGCTGGAGGATGTTGCAGGCAGCAGAACGTTCTCCATAGCGTCTCCAGACCCTGTCACCTCTGCCACAGGTGCTCAGTGTGAACCTGGTTTCATCTGTGAAGAGCACAGGGCGCCAGTGGCGAATTTGCCAGTCTTGGTGTTCTCTGGCAAATGCCAAACATCCTGCACGGTGTTGGGCTGTAAGCACAACCCCCACCTGTGGACGTCGGGCCCTCATACCACACTCATGGAGTCTGTTTCTGACAGTTTGAGCAGCCACATGCACATTTGTGGCCCACTGGAGGTCATTTTGCAGGGCTCCAGCAGTGCTCCTCCTGTCCCTCCTTGCACAAAGGTGGAGGTAGCGGTCCTGATGCTGGGTTGTTGCCCTCCTACAGCCTCCTCGACGTCTCCTGATGTACTGGCCTGTCTCCTGGTAGCGCCTCCATGCTCTGGACACTACACTGACACAGTAAACCTTCTTGCCACAGCTCACATTGATGTGCCAGCCTGGATGAGCTGCACTACCTGAGCAACCTTGTGTGGGTTGTAGACTCCGTCTAATGCTACCACTAGAGTGAAAGCACTGCCAGCATTCAAAAGTGACCAAACCATCAGCCAGAAAGCATAGGAACTGAGAAGTGGTCTGTGGTCACCACCTGCAGAACCACTCCTTTATTGGGGATGTCTTGCTAACTGCCTATGCTTTCTACCTGTTGTCTATTCCATTTGCACAACAGCATGTGAAATTGATTGTCAATCAGTGTTGCTACCTAAGTAAACAGTTTGATTTCACAGAAGTATGATTGACTTGGAGTTACATTGTGTTTCAGTGTTCCCTTTATTTTTTTGAGCAGTGTAGTGAAAAAGAGAAAAAATAGGCAACTCAGTGGTTTGTGTTTTTTTTAAGCATTTATTTCTTACATTCAGCCATTTTTCATGACTTTACATTAGTTTCTTTTATTCTCATCTTTTTTAATGGGATTTTGTTACTTCTGTATTCATACCATATAACTGGTACCTTAGGAAGTATCACCACATCAAATTAAAATGTTTTCTGAAAGGCTGGTGTTTGATGGGCAGAATATCTAAATGATAAACATAAGTATTTGTCTTTTCTTCAGCCTTAATCTGATTAATATACATATATTAATCAAAATCTTTACATAATCTCAGTGAGCATTCAGTGTAAAAATGGTCTAATCTAAAATGCATCTCAGAAGTGATGCTTGAAGTATCCAGATCAGTCTTCGATATAAACAGATTGTGTAGTAGAATAAAAGCCTGGCATTTCTTCTCCTAGGCACTAGTACTGATTCAAAAAAAAAAAAAAACCACAGTTAGAAGCCCATTAAGTATATTGCAGTCACAGATATCTGAAGTTCAGTAATTTGTAATGTTTAGTTTATTCAGTATTACATAAAGAGCCTTAGTTATTAGAAATCCTACACAAAATGTAATAGTTCTAAAAGCATTATTACACAAATCTCCTAGGTTTTAACTTAAACCCTAATCTGTTTATGCTAAATAATTAAACAACTTCAGACTAAGTATTGATTTATATAAACATTTGAATGCATGGCAGCCAGGGAAAAGTTAATGCTGCATTCCACAAGCTATGGTTAGTATACCTTTGTTGGGTCAGTTATGAACACATAGTGGCATGGCAAACTCTATGTATTATCAGAAGCATCATGTTCACCCAACCATTTGAAAAGTGTGCAATAATACGTTTAAAAACTTGGCATGGCTTAAAAACCTGAATCTGACATCACTTATTAGCTTTTCACTTTGGCTGGTTTTTTTTGCTGAAATTATTATAGAAAATGAATGAGCTCTTAACAGACATTCAAATGTAAATGTGCTCTTAATACAAACATATTATTGATGTTGTAATACAAATTCTATTTATTAGGAATATCCATCATTACATAATTTCTGATGCTTTTAACAAATCATAACAAAACAATCTACTAGAATGGAATTTGGGAAAACTACACTAACTAGGCTTAAATTCAGAAGGAGTTATTAGAGATTGTTAAAGCCCAATCCAGTGATTAAAGGCTATTCTGCTTTTCTCTAAAACTGAGCACATACAAAGCTTTCTACTGAAGGAATAAAAGGAAGTTTAATTTATAATGCCAGCATATTTAAGAAATAAGATAAAGGATTATATCCATTGTTGCTTCTGTTTAGCCAGAAAATTTATATTTTTATGCAAGTCATTACATCTAATTTTCCCAGCCCAGTCTGAGATGTATTTCCTAATGCTGTAAAAGGTCGCCCAAAGAGAGAAGAGTTGCTTTTCAAGGAATATTGGAGGATGCACTAGAAAGGAATATAGGGGGAAAGTTGTTCTGACTAGCATAAGTATAAGCACTTTCAGCTAATATGCCAAGCTACCCAGAAAATAAAACCAGAATAGAGTTATGTAATCAAATATGATTATACTGTGCAAAATTGCTGCAAGAAGTTTTCCTAAAGGAGACGAAAATCTTGAATAATGTTCACCTTTTAATAAGTTCATCACGAGTTGTGAAATGTGGCACATCTTCAACTTCAATTCCATCTGCCATTTCTGTCACCTTCTCCAATAGATCTTTGCTATAGCTGTGTAAAGAAAACAAAAGTTTACAAGGTATCTAATAGCCTCCTACTGTTCTCCAATTCACATTTGCCATCAAAGTTCAATCCTTTCAATTGTATAAACAGCATCCATAAGGTTCAGAAAAATTGGGATGCTTTAGGCCTGCTTTATTATAAAAGCTAGGAATGAAACTTAGCAAAATGCAGGCTAAATTACTTTGGATTTAAGTACCAAGTTTCCAAACATACTTAATAAAAATTATGTGCCTGGATTTTAGAAACAAGGCATAAATGAAATTTGGAAAGCAAAGTTGTAACATACCCCTAAATACCAAAAGCTCAAAAACTTTGAAGACTACTGTTTTAAAAACAGATTTTAAACATGTTTCTTTAAAAAAAAAGATTAAAAAACCAGCAAGGTGAACTTCTATCAACATTTTCCCCACCTGCTTCTAGTTCCTCTGAACAACTGACCTGTGAATAAGAGAAAAAGAAGTGGCAAAATGCCATCATTGTCACCTTCTAAAATAGTCTTGTTTTAATAGTATTGCTCTTAATGACCTTATGTAAGTTCCCCCAAGACACTTGCTGGCTGAAGAATGAGAACGAAGTACTTAAAATAAGTGGGTTGCCTATCTTGAAATAATAGCGTCCCATTTTTTGTATAAAAGCACATGATTCCTTTATGGTGGCACAGAAGTACAGCCCATTATTCCAATATGCTGGGAAATATAACTTGCATGGAACAATCTGTTATCGGAGACCGTTATCCATCGTTGAATGACAGGAGGTATACAAAATTGTTGGACAAGAATGTGTAGCATATCATTTTTTTTTCTCTGCGTTCAACAAAGCAAACAACTTCAATAAATCCTGTCACGCTACTCTCTTAACAACTTTATTTTAACATAATTATCCTTTTTTCCCTCAAGAAATAAAATCCTGTTTGTGGTCCGGCTGCATTTTTATGTCTGAATACACTTATTTTCCCTTCACTGCTACCTCTCCTGGTAGGAAACTGCTGCTCTTCAAACCTGCAAATACAAAGGAGGCGGCTTCTCTTACTATGACGTAATCCCTTAAAAAAAAGGGGGCGGTTAAGAAAATACCGGGCAATCCCGGCGCATGCGTTGAATGAGTAAACGGCTGGCCGCCCGCTCCTCGCCACTGCGTTCCCCCGCTCTAGCGTTTCCCTGGTGCAGCATCGGATGACAACTTCTATCCTTCCCAGCCGGACCCAGCTGTACGGCCCAAAACATTCTGGAGGCCGTGCGAGCGAAGGGACGAGGAGGCGGTACCTGCATCCCAGGAAGAGATGATTGGCCCAAACCATGGAGAGGGAGAGCAGCTGGTCCAGACGTAGCGGAGTGGGAGCCTCCCCGCCCTCCAGCGGGCTATTGCGCAGGATGAAGGCGCGCCGCGCTTGCCAGTGTTTTTCGTTCTCCGAGTAGGAGCGGAACTGTTCAGGAAATTCGGGGTCGGGCGCGACTTCGTTGTCCCCTTTTACCATCCTTCCCTCCTTTAGGCTGCCCACCAGGAATCGGAACTGACGCCTTTAAACGGAGCAGCCGTTTGGCGAGAAGGAGGCAAAAGGCCGGCGTTGCCGCTCTGGCCGTCAATCTCCACTGCTCTCCCTCCGGTCCTGGGGCCTTAATTCCACCGAGCTGGCGTGCTTGGCTGCGCAGTTATCCGCATGCGCAGAGAGGCTGTGTGGAGTCATTTCTGTGTCCCTGTTCGCCCACTAGCATTTATGGAATGGCGGGTTTCGCGAAGCATGTGTTAGGGCTAAGAAATCTAGGCCTCTAAAACCCAGACGACCACTAGATGGCAGCAAAGAATCCTGAGGGTTGTACCTCTGTGTTGCTACCGTCTAGAATTTTGCAGGTTTTGCCCCCAAAAAACACAGTGTGATGGAACTACCTTATTAATGCATTTGCTTAATACTAATACATCTTAGTTATTTCAAGCTGCTCTGATTGAGGGGCTCCCATAGCTGCACATAATATCACCTAGGCGGCTTCTTTTCTGCCCTTGTCACTCAACCAGAAAGAACTGTCACTGGCTTGACAGAGGCCATTTTACAACTAGTAATTATCCTACTTCCAACACATTATGTGAAGACCTTGCTCTCTAGAAAGCTCTAACACTGGGAAAGGTGGAGGTGGACAGAAAGAGAAGAAAGGGACAACTGGCAAGAAGATGGACAGACCAGGTTACAGTGGTGATGGTGTGTGTGCGTGTGCTGTTGGGAGACAAAGATCAGGTTAGGGACGGATCATAATGGAGAGAATATGTGGTTGCTAAGAATTGACAATGACTTGATGCAGAGTCAGCCTATTGCCCCCAACAATTTGGCTCCTCATTTTACCCACCTTGGAAGGATGGAAGGCTGAGTCAACCTTGAGCCTGGTGGGATTTGATCTGCCAAATTGCAGGCAGCTGGCTGCAGCAGAAGTAGCTTGCAGTACTTCACTTTAACTACTGTGCCACTGAGGCTCTATGGTTATACTGCCATTGGGTGCCAGTTCTGAATCTAATTCAAGATGTTCTTTATGACCTTTAAAATCATATGATAAGGAGCCAAGTGAAGTACTGAATTGTCTTCAAACCATTTACATTAGCCCAGCCCACTGGGAGTGGATTCCCATTAAAGAATTCCAATTATCAAGGTGCAGGAAGAGAACCTTCTCAGTTGTTACCCCTTACCCTTGGAACATTTTGCCCCCAGAAATGAGATAGGCCCCCACTCTCCTGGCCTTTGAGAATTGTCTAAGGACCTGGCTCTGTGTCTGTTGAGGTTTCCAGTCATCCAGGTCATGGTTGCCCCCAAAGTGCTTTTAAAAAGGCACCTGGATTTTCTGGGATTTTTCTTGCAAAAAGAATCAAGAAAGACCAGTTGCCTTTTTAAAACCACCTTTGGGACAACCTAGCTCTGCTATCCTGCTTGGGGCTCACAGAGGAGTACATAGGTGTGGGACTTGTAGCACTCAAAAGTCCCCCTCTTTTAATTAATTTTTAGACTTGAAGTTTAATTATCTTTGCCTCTTTTAAAATTTTATATACAGTTTATTTTTGATATTTTATTTGTACGCTGTGCAATGTCTCTCTGTGAGGGAGATGGGCAGTTTCTAAATTTGATTAATAAATAAAATGCAGTAGGTAATATAGCATCACCCAGCCATTGCTTGGATGACTCACCTGTCTTTACTACTTTTAAATGCACACAACGATGGAAAAAGTAGCTTAATACTTTGGTATTTCGGGCAAGGAGGGGCTTGTTTTTGGCATCTGCTTTAATATTGGCTAAACACCTCCCTGAAGTCCATCTCTGCAACATCTCTGCTATCTTTATTTTCTTAACATAAACTGTAAGGAAATAAGATTTTTCTCTGTAGATCTGTATGCTATTTTAGTTATGTTTGGGATTTCGGTTGGTTGTTTAAAACCAAAGTTTCACTGACACATATGAGTGTAAGAATTTGATACTGAGTATTATGTTTTTATAGTCCTTTAAATTGCAAGTGAGACTGGATTCTTGAACATCAGATATGAAAGCCATTAAATAATACATATTTGACTTTAGCAATAGCACTTAGATTTAAATACCACTTCATGGCGCTTTACAGCCCTCTCTAAGCAGTTCACAGAATCAGTATAGTGCCCCCAACTATCTGGGTCTTCATTTTACTGACCTTGGGAGGATGGAAGGCTGAGTCAACCTTGATCCGGCCAGGATCGAACTCCTGGCAGTAGGTAGAATTTAGTGTGCAATATTGCATTTTAACCACTGCACCACCACAGTTCTTATATTACCTTCCCAGACCTTTAAAGGCAAATGGATTAGTTTTTTCCATTTTCTGAAAAGCATCAGTTCCTATGGTGAGGTTTTGACTGAATTCAGTGAGTCTTCTGAACACATTACACAAACTTCTTGATGCAGAAAGTGGATCTTAACTAGCAAAAAGCATTAAGGTTCACCTCTTGTTTTCAGTGGTGTAAGAAAATTTATTTAGTTTACTTCAGTATTAGATGATTCAGCCACAGCTTAAAATGAAGTGAAAAATACAGTGACATAGTAAATACAGTATTGTGCTGTTTATTCAAAGACAACTTCACTGGAATTTAATGGCCTTACTCAGTTCACTGGCTATATGATTATAGGATTTCTAAGTCACATAAAATATCACAGTGTGCCAATTAAAAGTTATTCAAACCTATGCATATTTATTTAGAAATGTGAATTGTATAGCAGTCAGTTATCATCCAGTTGACATTCCTGTAAACAATGTCCTAAATATGAACTTTACTGATTTTCAAATTGCTGTAATTATGCTTAGGTTTCTGCACATATAAAATCCATTAATGGAATGTACAGATCACTGAAACTAAACCAATCCAGAAGTTGTTCAGTGTTCTCCTTCTGTACAAGCAATAATATGTCCAGGTAAAAATAACTCCTTGTTGATTTCCACATCATTCCACCACCCCTAAACCTCCAAGGCCTAATTTAACAGAAATATGTGAGAAGAGAAGAAGACCCTTGAGGCCACACTATAAGCTTGCACCGTGTTCCACGGTGTAATTAGCTCAGTAAAGTCAATAGATGTTCTTATAGCACATATTGGCTTCTGTATCAAGGAACACCTCAAGAAGGAACTTCGGTACTTCCTGGTTCTCCATGAATTCTTTAACTGGATGCCCCTGCCATTAGAAGCAACTCCATTTGCTGGTCTTTTTTGACTGAATGCATACTATTCTGCAGCACTCTCCGTCAGTGGCATTCTTATTCTATAAGGTAGTAGTATCATTCTATCAAATCAGATCAATTTATACTGATTTACAAGCAGAGAAATTAATACATCTAGAGAATTTCTAACTAGTTTCTACATCTCAGTACTTTATATATGTTCTCTTTTCCATGCATACCAAAGCTCTTTGAGCTGTACTATCTCTCCCCCTCTTATTTATTATACATATTTACTACACACAGGTAAGTCCCATTCAATTAACTTCCCATCCTAGTATCCTTTACATGATGAACCACAATGACCATTGTCCACAACCAGCAACTATTAATCTACAGTGACAAGTTGTAAGGAAACATCTAGAGATTAAGGAAAGATGCATTAAATGTGTCTCACTTTGAATAGACAGGTATAGAATTGCATTGTTGAGTGTGAAAACAAGCATTTAGACGGATATTTCCATTGAATTCAGTTTATTTATGAATAAACAGTTGCACATGCATCGGTAATTTACTGTGGGTATTGCTTTTCAGATCAGCTGGGGATGAACTACCCTTTCATATAAATTGGTCTAGATCATTGCTTTCCTGTTATCTCTGCTCATTCAAAATAAATTGTTACACAGCATGTACATATAAGTTAGCAATGCCTGGAGTTGATTTTTATGGTATTTGACAAATGCAGAGAGTTTAGCAGTCTTTGGTACTTTGGATGCTGCTTTGCAATCCAGGCATACTTCAGAGATCTGGAAAGAAACATCAAGCTTGCTGATGAATTATGGGACTTGAAGTCAACACATCCTAAATTTGTCATGGTTGAGAAACATTGGATTCAGTGTCACAGTATCTAAGCATGTGGGATTAGAAATAGAAAAGGGAATGTAGAATCTGGCTCCATTTAAAAACAGCTCCATAGCTCCATCTTTGAATGTAATTATCCCACTGCCTTCTTTATGGGCCATTTTTATTATTTCAGGGCTGACTGTCAAAAACACTGTTCTTGAGTAAGTAAGGGTATCTTTTTCATTATCTTGAAGCTAATGTAATATATTGTCATTTTTAAGGCAGATGTCATTTACTACAGATTGGCATGAGATTGAAATGATACATATAGTATGTTTCCTCCTCTCCATCAAAATGGGACATTCTTCTGTTTAAATACAGCTCATCAGTCTGGAACCCACATTATGTATCTGATATTAGCACAGTTGACAAAGTCCAGAAATATTTCACAAGAAGAGTTCTCCACTCCTCTACTCGTTGTAGAATACCTTATGCCACCAGACTTGAAATTATAGACCTAGAAAACCTTGAATTACGTCACCTTCAGTCTGATCTAAGTATGTATATAAAATCATACATTGCAATGACTTACCTGTCAATGAATATTTCGGCTCCAACCATAACAACACAAGAGCACACAATAGATACAAACTCAAGGTTAACTGCACCAAGCTTGATTGCAGGAAATAGGACTTCAGCAACAGAGTGGTCAATGTCTGGAATACTCTACCTGACTCTGTAGTTTCTTCCCCAAACCCCAAAAACTTTAACCTTAGACTGTCTACTATTGACCTCACCTTTTTCCTAAGAGGTCTGTAGGGGGTGTGCATAAGCGCACCACTTGCCTACTGTCCCTGTCTTATTGTTTCTTATTTTTCTTATATGTACTCATTTCATATGTACTGTATTCATAACTATGTATATACTTATACCTATTATCTTGCAAGCAATTGACAAATCAAAATAATTAAATAAAAATGTCTAGGTGGACATAGAAATAAGATGCATACAAAATAAGATCCTTTATAAGAAGAACCTCCTCCCCGCCACCACTTATTTCAAATTATTAAAGGAAATAAGATTCTATAACTGAAGAGTCAAGAATTCAGCTGTATTGAGCAACCAACAGGCATATTATTCAGAGATTTCTTTTTGAAATTTGGAGAAGCTATAATTCTCATCTCTGTGGGGCAGACAAGATGTACAAAGTAGATGTCTTGGTTTCTAACTGTAAGCCAATGTATAGACTACTGACAAGGACGGAGTTTTTAATGCATCACATCAGAAGACTATTAGGTTAGAGAAGGCTGCAATAGGAGATCACCACACACTGAAAAAAAA